CAGTGAATCTGCCCAGAGACACGCGGAGAGTTACCCCAACGTATACACCAAGGAATCACGCACACACACACAGACATATCACACACCAACAAAGACAAAGATCCTCTGGAAAGACTTAACAGACTGTCGAGGCAAGTGCAGTTAAGCGAGCACCTATGAAGCCCGACAAAGTGCACGAGGGGGTGTGTGGCCAGCACCACGCCCGGCCGCCTTTGTCTCCCTAGTTGCAAAGTTTACACACCGCACAAGGTCCTCATTTGAGGCCGAGTCCACCTAGGGGAGGCCCTGGACCGGTTCAGATAATCGTCACCGGTGTTGGCCGTGAGTGGAAATCGAACCCGGGTCACCAGGTTCGTAGCGCAGCGTAGCGCTAAACGCTGCACCACCGCTCCCCACTCACACACCAACAAAGACAAGACCTACGCTGGGTAGGGCTGCGATTCACACGCTGCAATACGAACCCGGCGACACTCGAGTTCGATTCCTGTCCCACGGGTAACCTCAGCGGCGAGCGATACTTGAACTGGTCCTGGGTGCCTCCTCTCACCAACCCACAATGACCGGCGTGGTGAAGTACGGTCAAAGAACCCCTCAAACAGCCCCCGAACAACAAAGCGATGTGAATCAGCAGTTATGCAACACGTAAACACCCAAACGAATGTGGACCATTATCGCAAATTTTTTCTTTCGCTTGAGAAAGCCTTGGCAAAGTCTCATGAACCTGTTTCAGGAGAGTCCTGCTTTTGGATGTTTTAGCCAGACCATTATTGAGTATTTATATTCGCGAGGAAAATTCTCTTTTTTGGCCCAGCACTGCGAAGTACACGGTTGAGATAACCCCCGTGACCCAACACGGCCTTCATCCAGCAGTGGAGTGAGCAAGGAGCGCGCATTTTATTTTATTCCCTCTCGTTGCAGAGCGAACGCCGGCTAAACTGGACTGGAACGCGATTAGGGCACGAAAGCAATTCGAGCAGAACAGCTTAAGAGTGACGACAGTGGATCCATACAGTGGAGCACAGAGCGCACACACAATGAGGGTTGGCGAGCCATTGTGCGGATCCTGATCTATGCCCCTTCTCCTCTCGCTGACGTGCACGCACACAGACACACACGCACACAGACACACACGTGCACAGACACACACACGCGCACAGACGCGCACAGACGCGTACAGACACAGACGCGCACAGACACAGACGCGCACAGACGCACATGCGCACAGACGCGCAGAGGCACACAGACACACACGCACACAGACACACACACACAGACACACACACACACGCACACAGACACACACACGCACACAGACACACACACGCACACAGACACACACATAGACACACACACAGACACACACAGACACACACGCACACAGACACACACGCACACAGACACATACGCACACAGACACACACGCGCTGTGGGCCGGTCCTGCAAATCAAGGGACGTTTCAGAAGGGCCGCTCACGACAAAGGGGTAACGTCCCCAGCCGATCTCGCTCTCCCCTGTCGCCTCCCTCGCTGCCGGCTCCCTCGCTCGTCCATCTGGACTTGACAACATTCAACTGTGGGGGTCCCCCCCCCCACACCACCACTCGCTCAAAGTCCCACACCGACAATTGGCAACGGCAGCGGCATCGGCGGTGGTGGCGGCAGCCGGAGCCCACGCCGGGGTCGCCCCCCGCATTCCACGTACGGCTTACAAACGAGAACATAAATAAGAAGGGCAGCGACGCCGAATGACGGAGCGCGAGCGAGTGGCCAAGCGGCGCCACCCCCGCCGCCGCCACCACCCCGGACCGACACTCACCCCCAGCGTGCGTGGCGAGAGATGTCGAGAGATGGAGAGGGTCAGGCCCCCCCCCCCCCCGCTGTCCCCGTCCTCAACGTCGAAAAATAAGAAAATAGAAAATCCCAAACTCGAAGGCGAGCGGGCGGGCAAGCGCTGACCACGGCCACGGAACCGGACACCGCAGCGGCCGCAACCGCCACCACCACCACAAAGCCTCGCTTCCCTCTCGCTTGAGCTGTGCTCGTTTTTTTTCAGCCTCAGCTCTGCCTCTCTTGTTGGCCTAGTCCCTTCTTCCTCTCTCTCTCGGCTCTCTCTCTCTCTCCCCCGCCGTTCTTCCCTCCGCCCTGTTGGCTCAATTGCCTCTCACTGGCCAAGGTACACGACCAACACCCAACCAGAACATACCTCCATATCGTCAGGGGCACGCTTGCTCCTCCCATTTCTCACCCGCTCTCTCTCCCTCCCACCACCACCTCCCACCACCGCCGCCACCCACCGCCGCAAGTGAATCTGGGAGGCAGCGAGCGATTAGCATAGCTAAAGATACTCTCGGTGGGCTCTCCTCCGTGTGGCACAACCCTGGCTGCACAGCAGGGACCCGGCGGTTTCATTGTGCTCTCCAATCGCCGCGTGTACTCCCCTCCCATACTTGCAGGGCGAGTTATATTGAAGAGATAGTTTTCAAGGTGGGGGGTTGGGGGGGGCAGAGAGAGGAACGAATGCACTCGCACGCTGGGTTTGTAACGAGAGTCGGCGTCGCTCCCGAAACCCTGGCACACGCCGGGGACGATGCCTCGTCTCGGTCTGGCAAAATCGGCAGGGAGAAAAAATGGAAACAACGAAGGCCCTTCCCGTGCAATTGCCACGGCCCAAACGTTTCACGGGGCCACGATTTCACGCCTGCATTTGATTATTGACGGCTCCTCCGACGCGTGTCGAGGTCGCGTAACCACGGCGTGCCGCGTCCCAGAGAGCGCCGCGAGAAAGGAAAACGCCGAGCGGCGAGCGAGTTTACCGTCAAGTGATTTGACATTGAAAATCTTTGTGCCGAGCATTTTGAAGAGAAAAAAAAATATCCTCTGCCTACGACTGTCCCTGCGCCTCTGTTTCTCAAGTAGAAATGCCAACCTGTGCCTGTACACCGTGAGAGAAAACAATTTGCACACAACCAAGGTAGCGATAAAGTTTGGCGAGATACAATGGACCTGCACATAGTAAGATGGCGGGACCAATTACTCGAGGTCCGCCGCCGCGTTACTGTATCACTCCACGCTCAGTATCACTCCACTGAGCCACGCAGCTCAAGAGAGCAGTTCGTCATCGACTGCTCAGAAAACGCGTTATAACGGTGTGTGCGCTCCACGCTATAACGGTGTGTGCGCTCCACGCTATAACGGTGTGTGCGCTCCACGCTATAACGGTGTGTGCGCTCCACGCTATAACGGTGTGTGCGCTCCACGCTATAACGGTGTGTGCGCTCCACGCTATAACGGTGTGTGCGCTCCACGCTGTAACGGTGTGTGCACTCCACGCTATAACGGTGTGTGCGCTCCACGCTATAACGGTGCGCGCGTTTCATGTTGTGCGTGAAACGTTCCGTAACAGAAGAACTGCGTTATCACGAAAAACACGTTATAGTGCGAACACCGCGCGTTAAGCGAGGACCCACCGTACTTTATTGTACAACTTCGCGCCAAACTAGGACCCAGGTCGGAAGGAAGGGGTTTTCCCTTGTCTATGGACATCTGGCAGTTCACCAGTGTCGATTCAACACGAGCCTCACTCTGCTGACGAGACACTGTGCGCCAAAAACCGGACCAGTTTGCTTGTGTGGAACCGATGCTGCTGCAATGATGTAAGAAGATAGATATGTTTACGTTGTATGTGGAGGGGACGTATAGGCGGTGGGGTTAACGTTATCTGCTGATCTGTTTTGGTACAAACAAATAGCGTGGCTACTCCTCCCCATAGCCAGGAGCACTACCGCCCTCTGCCGTCTGGAGCTTGTATTTTTTGCAGTGCATCTACAGAACCTTTTTCAATCCACTGCTGGATGAGAAGGATTTCCCCCCCCCAATGCCTCAAGAGTCGTGGGGTTTATTTGACCATACTTCACCGTACTGGTAAGTACGGTAAAGACGGGGCTGGGGGACGGACGTATAGACCTTGTGGCCTAGTAGAGTACAATTTATATTGCTGCACTGCCCTCTGCTGGTATGCATGCAGCAGCAGCAGCAGCCTTGTTTCAGTTAAGTTTCATTTGTTAGGTATAGCCCTGTGAGCCATGCGGCTCTTGAATAATAAATGGCCAACGGCCATACGGACTTGCACCGCGATGCTCTTTCTCAAAGTCAACTCGTATTTAGTCGTGTCGTTCCTGTTCTTCTATTTACGGGAGTTCACCCAAGAAAGGCCGAGTTTCGTTACTTTTACGCGAGGGTCCTTGCAACTTTTTAGTTTTTTTGCTGCAGTAGGGAGGCGCTGCTGCTGCTGCGTAATCCCACTTGAGTAACTTTCCAGGTGATTTGTCAGCACGAGGATGTTTTTGGTCGATATCAGTTACATTGTGTGTGTTTTTATCGACAGAAATCGTAGAGCTTGGAGGATACCCATTGCTGAACTCGGGGGAAACCATGAAAAGAACATTCAAACACTCTACACGAAGAGAACATACAAACGCTCCACACAGAGGCGCCCAAGCCGGGAATCGAACCCAGTTAACATGCCCCAGGTGGTCTGTGTGTTCTGCAAAACGTACCTCCGTAGGGCAGGGGTGGGGAACCCTTTTTCTGCCAAGGGCCATTTGGATATTTGTATAACATCATTCGCGGGCCATACAAAATTATCAATTTAAAAATTAGCCTGTTATATTTGGTCAAACATTTAATTAACTCGCCCCTAAAGTGATGGCTGGAACTGCTTCTCTTTGGCGAGGCGTGTGATGTTAGCTGGTATTGATGATGTTGCTGCTACTCGCAACTGCTTTTCCAGGTTTGCGCCTAGATTTATTGCATTTCGAGTCCCGCCTGCGGTTGCCTTGGCAGGGTCACACCAAATAATTTTGCGGGCCTCATACGGCCCGCGGGCCAGACGTTCCCCCACCCCTGCCGTAGGGCGTACCGCAGAGCAGAACCGCAGAGGGTACCCGCACAGCGTACCGCAGAGCGTGCAGGGGCACGTACCGTGCGTGCGCGGTGACTTACTGAGACACTGCAAGGCGTCGCGTGATCCCAGCCCCTTCCCGCAGTGCGAGCAGTGCGTGGGGCTGGAGAAGGTGGCCGAGGCGAAGCGATGAGCCCCACCCTGCGGTGGCTTCTCCTTGCCCTCCTTGGTCTTGGACTGCGGGAACAGCGGAGGAAGAACCGTGAAGACCAGAGAGAGTTATTATAGCGAGCAAGAGAACGAGATATTGGGCAGAGAACGATCCAACCCACCCCCGATCCGTCCCCCCCGCTCTACCCCAGCGACACGACCGCCCACAGTTGCGGGCTCAGAGTTGGATTCGACAGTCGATGATTTTTTGTCTCACTCGGTTCAACGCGCCGGCGTTGCAGTCAGTCATTCGTTACGCTACAAGGGCTCAGATGGACCGCCTGGTAACGCTGAGCAGTGGCGGAACTGCCGAACCACCACGATCCCACACCAGCAACTTGATGGCACCACGGTGGCTAGGAGATGTTAAGTACCTCGCCTGGTATGCAGGAGGCCGTGGCTTCGATCCCGACCCCCCACGCCTGCATATTTGGAGTATGCATGTTCTCCCCGCAGTCACGAGGAATTATTTCCGGGTCTCCCGGTTTGTCCCTCCACATTTAGAAACATGCATTGAAAGTATTTGGCTGGTGTCTATTTCCACATGATGATAAGCCACTTAATTGATTTATCATTTGTGAAAGCCGGGTCGCTTATGAAAAACAGCTATACAGGATCAGTGGGTAAAATAGCGGTAAAATAAAATCATTTTTTCGTTTTTTTTTTTTTAGACTGCCACGGTTTGCAGGATGAGGGGGTTTGATTCTACAAATCGATTGATTTTTTTTGTCTCATTTGTCTTGTTTGCTGCTCTGTTGTTTTCTCACCCAATAAGGCTCCAGCATTGGAAACGGTGGATTAATTTCACAACCCTACACCAAAAACTCTATTTAATACCAGGTTATTTTCGTCTCATTTGCATTGCCTCATTGTTGTACCATTTGCATGCTCAATTTGGCCTCGCTGTGAATACATTAATTCCTTATGGCTTTAATTTAGTTTCGAGTCTGCAAACAATTATGTTCGTCTCACACCTATGTCGCTTTTCATTTTCGTTCCGTTTATACGATTCATTACATTTACGTAACATTCTTTTTTTAAGTTCACATAATTTAAGATGTACGTTTTCAACAATAAAGCAACATGGGTTACCCTATTCATATTCTTGGGTAACCTTTCGTATATTCACCGAGTTGCTTTGATTTGGCGCGTAGCACGTCAACCGATTATAACCGTGAGCCAGACAGAACACGATTTGTCCCAACATTTTTTTTTGTTTTCTATAAAAAAGTTATATACGGGCAGTGTCGGATGTACTCGGTCAAACCACCCCCACCCCCTCCTCTACTGGACATCTGTGAAAAAGAGCTTCATAGCTCATCGGATTCCAACCTCCGGTCTAAATCAAGATACGGACTCCGAATCGCTGGGATGGTGGCGAAGCTGCTTTCAGTGTCGTCAATTTCCCCATGCACTGACTTGTTCCACGATCGGATTCCTTTGGGTTGTGTCAGCGGTGGCCACTACGACACCGAGCCCCGTGATCCACCGTGGCGGATCTCAACGGGCTCCAGTGATGACCAACAATCACCCGGACGGATCTCACCCCGTAAATCACGACAGTATAGACGTACAGTACTCGTGGCCATCTACTGGTAAGATGTTGCCATTATTTAGATCAGGCTTCAGCAACCAAAATAACAGGAACAGTAAAAAAAACATTCGGACAAAAAAAGAACCCTCAATATTTCAAGAGCCACAATGCATGTAGTGAATACGAGACGGTGAGTCCTTAATGAATAATGTCACGAAATAGTCCTTAAAGAGCCATACCTGTCAACCCACACGGTTTACTCGTATTCTTGTACAGGGATATTGAGTTTTCAGGTCCATACGGGGGTACAGCTGTTTCAATACGCGCAACAACTAAAAATTGTCTATTTGTTTGTGTTTCTCCCTTGTGATGGGACTTTGTAGGATGAACGTTGAGATTTATAAGGACACGGGGTGACCAATAACGTCTGAATTGGTCTGTAATAAGGTAAGCACTGATAAGGGGTTGACAGCTATGAAGAGCCACATGCGGTTCCGGAGCAGCAGGTTTCCAACCCCTGATTTAGACGAATACATTCTTCAATCTTGATTTGAAACTTTTCGTGACTGCAGGAATCCATACTCTTTGGTTCTTTCGGTAAAGTCACGTAGTTAGAAATAAAACAAAACAATTCTCGACGTTTCGGGCACAACACAAGCGTCAGTCATCAGGACAACCTCTTGCCACGGCAGCTCTCTCGCCCACTTCAGCAATACATTCTTCGTTGGAGACTTAAATTTGCCATCATTCGTATTGAGAATTGAGGTCTGCTTATGCTGTGGTGTTCTGATTTGTACTTTCATCCGGCAGCGGAAACAGCTCAAGACCCGACGACGAAAGGCCAATCGGGAACGCTGTCTGCAAGGAGCGGGGGGGGGGGGGGGCAATCCTTAACACAGCAGTAGATAGAGCCCGGCCAAGCCCACCTTGTTGCGGTTCTTTGTGCTGGTCATGCGGTTCTTGAGGAAGCTGAACGTTCGCGCCACCCGGGTTCCGGCCTTCTCCCCGTCCGGCTTGCTCGGGGAGACCACTCCCGGCTCGTCCGCCCTGGACGCCACACAGCAATCATCAGTGAGCACGGAATGCTGCGGAGGCCTTAGCTCCAGTAGCGGGAGTCACAAAGCGGCGCAATACATCATCATCATCATCACCACCATCATCATTAGAATTATTGTTATTTTACTGATTCGGCGATTGCAAGTGGCGTCAGAATAATATGACGAGAGAATCGTAAAGAGGCACCCGACTGTAACCTCTTCTCGCAATCAGGTGGCGCCGAACACGTGGCACAAGGCCTGACACAAGGCCTGGCACAAGGCCTGGCACAAGGCCTGGCACAAGGCCTGGCACAAGGCCTGACACAAGGCCTGACACAAGGCCTGACACAAGGCCTGGTACAAGGCCTGGTACAAGACTGGCACAAGGCCTGGTACAAGGCCTAGCACGCGGCCTGGCACATGGCCCATTACACACCCCAAAACGTGCCCTTGCGGGGGGGCCCCAATGCGGTTCTTACTGCGTCATGACTGACGAGAGGCTCATGTTGGACGGAAGAGTGGCCGACTGCGTCCGCCTGGGAAGAGACACGGGCAACAGATGCACCTTGAGAAACAGGTGAACAAACCTCTTACCAATCCATACCAAAGCGGGGTAACGTCCTCTAAAAACTTTATTATTTTTTGGTGGGATATTTCCAAATTTATTCCGATTGTGCTATTGGTGAGACCCGATTGGCCGAAGCATCCACTTGGATCTCGCGCACGGCAGTGCATCCCTCCGTGCTAGACAATGGCCCCCGGAAGCAGACATTATGGAGCTACCTCTGAGATACCTTTGTGTGTTGGCGGCAGCATTTAGCCACCCGCTCTGCAACTGAGAATAATGTTCGTTGCATGACAGTCAAACCAATATTTTCTATTTGTTGTTTACACGAACCATGGAGACATATAAATACCTCCCACAATACGGAGAACTCTATAGGGAAAAATACTCATCAGCTACAATGCACAGAGGTTATTCGAGGAGCGTGCATATTTTTAGCGACAGCAAAGCCGAGCTGAGATGGAGGCGAACGTACCGTTCGGGTGATGGGACATACGACACGCTGCGCGACCTTGACTCTGAAAATACGACCACACAATCGCGCGCGTGATTAGCAATGCGCATTTACGCTTTTAACATCGTCGTCGTCGTCACCATCGTCGCCTACCAGCACCACCATCAACATCATCATTCTAGTGGAAAAGATAAAATAATGAGGATGCACGTGTGTGCATGTAGGAGTGGTGGCGCATTAGTTAGTGGGGTGCGCTATGAACCCCGGGGTCACAAGTTCGATTCCTGCTCATGGCCAACACTAGTGTCGATTATCTGAACCAGTCCTGGGCCTCCCCTAGGTCACCTCAGCCTAAAATGAGTACCTGATGCAGTGTGTAAAAATTGGCACTGGGGAGACAAAGGCGGGCCGGGCTTTGTGCTGGCCACCCACCCCCTCGTGCGCCGTGCCAGCCTTCATAGGTGCTACTCGCTAACAGCACTTGCCCCAACAGTCTGTTAAGGCTATCCTGGGAATCTTTGTCTTTTGACCAATGTGTGTACACGGGTATCAGCGTGCGCGTGCGTGCTGGGTGTACGGAAACGACCCTGGCCGGAGCGCTTGCGGCGACGCGACAGCGCCGACCCGTGCGCGCCGCACTAACTCACCTCGACGAGGCGGCGGGTGGGGGGGCGTACACGCGCCATTGCCCCGTTTACTTTACGACGGCAGCGAGCAGCTGCTCGCCGTGATTTACAAACGGACGCGGAAAGAGTGAGTCAGCCCGGCCCCAGCTGCGCAGGTGGCTCTCGGCAAGGCTGGGCCAACGGCGGTCCGAGTGGTAGCATACGCTTGTATGTACGTTGAACTTCTTTCGCGCTGTACGTGGCCAACCGTGGCTAATCGGAGGTGCGGGAAACACAACCCGACGGTGGCCACCGGTGACAGGACTGAGACCGTCAAGCTGGTTTTTACCAGGCCAACACGGCCAACTTTTGCTAAAACTGCTTCGTCGTTCAGCCGACGTCGACGCGGCCCAGCGGAAGCGCAATGCACCACTCGTTGGCAGAGGTTCGCGGTTCGAACGTGGCAAGCCCCTGTGGTCAATACTGCGGGCTAACGCTGCTCCAAATGTTCAACGTGACAAGATCGCGTGTGTCTCGTGATGTCGTTTGAACAAGAGTAGGGGGGCCGTCGGGAGCCGTCGTCACGGTCCAAACTCGAGAAACTTAAAAACTTTGTCCCGTAAATGTACTTCATTGGGAAACGCACGGCAATCGTCGGCCAATGCTGAGACAACGAGGCAGGACTCTTCTAAAAAAGTTTTGAGACTCAGTGAGGCTTTCCCTAGGTAAATAAGGATAATAATAAAGAAAATATAGTGACCATTTTCGGCAGGGGATTCAAAAAGATTTGCTTCCTAGTGTGGATTAAAAAATCTACGATGAGCCAGTGGTGGAAATTCCACATTCCTATGGTGGGGACCAGTTCAATTTACTTTTTATTTTGTCATTGCTATGGACAGCGTGCACGTGTGTAAAGCGCACACAGTCATCATCCTTCACAGAGGAAGCTTGATTTTGATGAATTAATTATCAGTTTTCAAGACAGTGATCCAGGTTTTTTTGGGGAAAGTAAAGAGACTCAAGAGAAGACACACGCGGGCTATGTGAGGCCGATTTTGGTAAACACCATATGGGGCATGACCCTGGAAATTGTTTAATGTCCAACGATATATTATTTTATTTTTTATGGCAGATGCATCACATGACCACTAGATGGCAGAGGCGTCACATGGCCATATTTGGCGGTGGCCCTTGCCCGACTGCACTTGAGAAGAGCAGTGGAGCCGTGTCATCCCCAATCCCTTCCGTTAAAGACATTCCAAGCTGGTAACACGGCAAACCACTCACTGTTTATGAAGGGCTCGTGGTCCTGGAGGTGTGGCATCATCGCCGACTTCCTGTAGGGCATTGGACCCAAACCCAGCGCTCTGGCCTCCTCGCCGTCCTGCGGACCGCAAAGACGGGGGGGGAGGGGGCAACGGCAATCCCAAGGCAGGGTCAGCAGAGCGACCTTAAGTGACCGATTGTCCTGTTTATACTTATTTATTTTATCCCCAGGTCAATCTCGAGACAGTGGTGTTATCGCCGCGAGACAAAGAATCCGTTCAGATCTCTCGGCAGGCCAGTGCACCAACCAACCGTGTTCGAGAACGGCTTAGCGGTTTAGAACTACCTCCGAGTTCCACGCCACACGAGGGGGGCGGCAGCTTTCCCCTCCGTCTTTGCCACCAACGATGCTCGTCGCGCAACAGTGAATTCAGCATTTTGCATTTACAATCATTTCCACGATTATATGAGTGGGGCATCTGTAAATGGTTGACCCTGTGTGTGTGTGTATGTCTATATATCTTGAAAATAAATTAGAAATATGGATTTAAAAATGCGTGCTGTAATTATGCAGCTATTTTGAAAGTTATGTTTACCACTTAATGGCCAAAGAAGGATGTGGAGGGGGGACGGAGGAGAAGGGAGAGGGGTTAGGAGCAGGGGCGGTTTCTTCATTAGGGCGATTGGGCGACACACCACCAATGTCATTCAACCACAGAGTCACGCTAGCCGTCACTGTCAGCCTCTGGATATAGTCCAATCAGCGTCATGTCACGTTCTGTGGAGTACCGCCTCTTTTTGGGCGATTTCACTCCGGCTGAGAATCGCCCCGAGTGGCCCCATAGACTTACATTCAAAGATGTTTTTTTTCGAACGGCGGGCGCTCCAATGCATTCTCTATGGCTTCCGGGAGGGCATGCACTAACGTGCTTACGTCATCATACGTGCTAACGTCATCATACGTAATTTATCGCCACCTAGTGGAATCTTTAATAAAATAAACTTGAGTGCTTTGTTTTAATAGTGAGTATAGAAACAAACAAGATGTATTGTAAGAGTCACTTTATTTTTCATTAATATTAAAGAAGTGAAGTTGCCTTTACATGCTTAAGCTGTTAATTTATCCATTGCATGGGTGGACCTTATCCTTATCAATCATCCAGACATTTGCCCCCCCTGAGAGATTTTGCAGGAACCGCCACTGGTTAGGAGGGGGGTAGAGGGGGGGGGGGTAAAACTTGCCGGTGAGAGGTCGTGGTGCTCGTGGAGAATCCCGAATGGAGTCGAAAGCCCCTCTAACGTTTGAGGGCGTTCAGCAACGGTGCCTCCCACTTTTGCCAAACGTCGTTTTCTTTCCACCTCCTCCTCATCCTCCACCTCGTCCTCCCCCTCTTCTCCATGTTCCTCAGCCACCACGGTGGACATCTGCGCACCCTCCTCCTCCACCTCCTGCTCCTGCTCCTCCTCTCCCTCGCTGTGACTGTCGAGCTCATCAACGCTGGCGCTGCTCTCAAGAGAAGCACGCGGCACACGGTCGCTCCGTCAGCCTCCACCACCACCACGACCACCAACACCACCACCACCACGACCACCATCACCACCACCACCACCACCACCACGACCACCACCACCAAGACCACCACCAAGACCACCACCACCATGACCACCACCACAAACATGACCACCACCACCACGACCATCACGACCATCACCATAACCACAACCACCATGACCACCACGACCATCACCATAACCACAACCAATACGACAATCACCACAACCACCACCACCATCACCACCACATCAACACACCACCGTAAAAGTCACCGTGTCATTGAAAACACACTATCGGTGCAGTAGGATTCACAATGCGACAGCAGCAATAACTATAAAAATCAAGGCAGGCTGGATATACAATCAACACACGCAACCGCACCGAATTGTAAGATTTTTTTTTATCTCCAAAATAAACATCTCATATTTTATCAACCCAATTTTGTCCTCAATTGTCGGGCGTCGCAAATCCTGGCAGCAAACAGCGGCATCTCCACCTTGCAAAGGGGAAGAGCCCCCTGCAAGCTGACGCCACAGAACTACCTCACGAGCCACTTTAGAGGGCCTCTCGTCCACACACTTGGGGGCACACGCGAGGTTTTACTTTATTTGCCCCGCCAACGGCGTCGATTTGCATGTCCGTTAAAACCCGACGTTTAACACTCCCAGAAGCTGAAATTCGTGCCGTATTAAGTGGAAAAACCAGGTTTCAAGTGTTGGGTGCGGCGCCTTCGGACCATCAAACCGCGGCCCTTCCCGGTTTAATGACGGGCAGCGGCTGAAACCCCAGATCCCAACCCAGCCTCTGGGCGATGGTGGTCCAGTATCTCAGACTTTTGAGCCGACCCCCGACCCACCCCTCCGAGTCCCTCCGATTCCTCTCCACTGCAATCGCTTCAATTCCCGCCCCCTCCGTCCTGGCTCACCGCCTGGCCCCCTTCTCCCCTCTGTGGCCCCCTCAAGTCTCCAAAGATAAAGGTTCCCCCCCCCCCGTATAACCTTAACTGACTGCTGGGGCAAGTGTTGTTCGCGAGTAGCACCTATGAAGGCCGCCCGGCCGCCATTGTCTCCCTAGTGGCGATGTTTTTACACACCGCACCAGGTACTCATCTGAGGCCGGGTCGACCTAGGGGGAGGCCCAGGACCATTTGAGATAATCGTCACCGGTGTTGGTGACCGTGAGCGGGAATCGAACACGGGTTGCTGGGTTACGTAGCGCAGCGAGCTAACCGCTACACTACCGCTCCCCGCACACACATACGCGCGTGCACGTGCATGCACACACACACACAAAGACCCCCTCCCATACGGTCTATCAAGCGTGACAATGAGCACCTATGACTGCAGGCAACGGCAAACGACTAAGCGTCGTGGTCAGGACCGCACCGGGCTGTCTTTGTCTCCCCCGGTGCCAATGCTTCCAAAGGCCGAACCTAATCTGAACCGGCCCAGGACCGGTTCAATATAATCTGTGTTGGCCGTGAGCGGGAATCGAGCTCGGTGTCGCCGGGTTGCCTAGCGTGGCACGCCGACCGCCACGTCGCCAGGGCCCCCGGTGTATCTCACCTGCGCCTCTTGGACTCGACGACCGCGCGCTTCTTGGCCGGCTCCCAGCTGTGGCGCCGTCCCGGCGAGATCGAGCGCATCGACATCCGCAGGCGCGACAACCTGAGCGCCGCGTTGCCGAACCCGTTCGCGTCGCATCCACCCTCGTCGTCGGCGTCTTCGTCGTCGTCGTCTTCGTCGTCGTTTTCGTCGTCTGCGGCAACGGCGGCGGCATCGTCGTCGCCGCCGCCTCCGGTCGCCCCCCTCGAGCTCGCGTCTCGGTCCGCCCAGCGGAGCGACTCGCCGTCGTCCTTGCCGCCGCCGTCACCGTCGTCTTCTCGGTCGTTCTCGTCGGGTGGCTCGTCGTCGGGGCTTCCCATCGCCGTCGCCGTGACCATCCGTGGCGGGCGATGCGCGTCGGAGGATGACGAGGTGGTGGCGCCCGGGACGAGGTGGAGGTGGTGGTGGTGCCGAATGCAATCGTCATTCTCCTCGTCCTCCTCCTCCTCGTCCTCCTCGTCCTGCAGAGCCAACAACAGGATTTGGGGCGATTGCAAGCATGACTGTGAATTGCCCTCACGTGTGCTAGAGTATGATCAAGCACTCTATCGCTAAGGACGAAAGTTTAACATTTCAAGTTAATTTTGTGTAACCACAAATCCGCGGGCACCGAGCTTCCGTGCGTACCTGCTCCATGGCCAACTTGTTGATGTAAATCTCCTCGCCTCGCCGGATCCCTTCCGAGCATCGCATCCCCGCAGAGCCGGCCTCGGGCGGAAAGGCCACGGAGGACGAACCCATCATCATGGCCAACCCCGACGGCCTTCGGGGACCTGGGCAGGCCAAACAAACGCATCCCTGGTTCACGCGGGGGGCCAACTCCGCACTAGATGTCATCAATACCGCACAAGAAGCGAGTATTACACGCAGCTCCGATTAGCAGGGTCAACATACATACATACACACAGCGCACTGATACAGGATCCTTAAAGCGCACTAGGAATTAGGCCTCAGCAAGATAAGGTAAAAGGTCAAAAGCAACGAGCCTACCTTTACCCTACCTTGTACCCTTACCCCATACACATTGCCCGATTACAGGGTAATTACTGGGGTACTACTACACATGAACAAGGCTTATAACAGGTATATGCTAGGTAGAGTGCTTTATTCATATAGATGACTCTCGATGATTCCAATTTTAAATGGAGGCCACGGACTGCGCCACGGAGCTTTGAGCGAGCAAGGTGTTTACCGAGTAATTTTTCCACGCTACCTTTACCCTACCCTTTACCTTGGCATGTCGACACCTTTACCCTTTCATACTCTTTGGTTCTTTCGGTAAAGTCACGTAGGTATAAAATAAAATCAATTAAATAAAATTTAAAATCTATACCTACGTGACTCTACCGAAAGAACCAAAGAGTATGGATCCCTGCAGTCACGAAAACTTCAAATCTAGACATTACCCTTTAACCCGGTAAAAAGGATAAATTACCTTACCTTGCCGAGACCTACTGGGAATCACTCTTTAAAACGCCGTTGGCTCGGGAAACGGGGAAAAAATCCGCCAGGGCCAGCGACAATCTTGCCGAGTTGGCAATGGCCGGGGCCCCAATACCGTGAGACCAGGAGCCCGTCCTACAAGCTCCGATTTAACGTCGCCCGTGTTCGTTCGTCGCTTTCCTTGGCTCGTGCCACGACAGCAGCAAACCGGACGGCCGGAGGCGACGATTCTAAAAGACGTCACAGGGACCAGGGGAGGCCTTGACTTTGCCAAACGCTGGAAGGTTTTACGCGATTTTTGCGATTAAGGCATTTGTACTTTTACCTCTTCCGTCTCCGCCTACGTTTTCTCTTGCTCTCTCTCGGCCACTAGCTTTGTACTTAGCACACCGGGCCCCCCTTCACCATCGCCGCTGGCAACCCCCAGCGCCACCCCCACCGGCACCGGCCTCTTTACGAGCGGCATGGGTGGTTTTCGCGGCCGTGCCGTACGGCTCCCCACGGTCGAGTCAACCGAGTCCCCGCGCCGTACGGATGTTTGCCGTTCGGCGCGCGACATCCCAGGGGCCGCTTCGGCGGTGAAACGCCGGGGGCGCCGGGCTCCCCAAAAAAAATCCGCGCGGCGCAACCGCCGGGAAAACCGTGTGGGACACCCGTAAACCACCCCCCCCCGCGTCCCGCCGCCCCCCAGACACTGTCGCGCTCACACCTGTCGTCGGCAAAACCGGCAGAAAAACGACGACGTCGCGAAATCCGACGCTGCCGTCCCGCTAACGCTCGGGGGGAGACGAGAAAGTTACGGCGCAAAAGGTAAAAAAAAAAGTCCTCACCCACGTGGGAGGCTTTCATTTCCCCCCCGTCAACGTGGAAACTTGTCCGCTGAACCCACGATCTTTAAACCCAGCGCACGGCGGGACATAAAAGAATTTCCACCAGCAGAGATACCGGCGGCACCGCCCCACAATGAGGAACCGCAACGGAGAGTGAACCGTTGATTATTTTACTATCGCGACAATGATGGCCTCACCGTGCACAATAACCACAATCATGGAAAAACACCATAGAACTTATTGCGTGCTTGCGTGCCGTTTCATACACAAACACAAGTAAAACACAAATACAAAGGTCCCCAATATAGCCTGTAACAGACTGTTGGGGCAAGTGCTGTCAGCGAGCACCTATGAAGGCCAGCACGGCACCTGAGGGGGTGGGTGGCCAGCACCACGCCCGGCCGCCTTTATCTCGCTCGTGCCGATGTTTACTACACACCGCACCAGGTACTCATTTGAGGTGGAGTCGACCTAGGGGAGGTCCAGGACCGGTTCAGATCATCATCACTGTTATTGGGCGTGAGCACGAGTCGAACTCGGATCACCGGGTTTGGTAGCACAGCGCGCTAACCGCTACACTGCTGCTCCCCACTGAGATGACTGACATTCGTGTGCGTACACACACGCACGCCACACACGTGCACAACCGCACACAAAGATAAAGACACCCCGTGTAGCCACACGGGCTTGCCAGGGCAAGTGCTGTTGCAGGCGCCTATGAAAATCGGCAAGGCTTACCTGTCAAACAATTAAAATGTGTTCCTGAGTGCTCCGAATGGCTGATGAAGGAATTTCAGTCATTCGCCCGAAATCAATCTCAAATGTGCCGCCTTGTCGTAAATCCCCTGTTGATGAGGTCCGCGAGGAAATCCTCCACCCCGTGCGGGGCATGGGGGAGGGGGGGGGGTTGCCTGGCCATACTTCGCCACGCTGGTCAGTGTGGGTTGGTGAAACCGAGGGAAGGAGGGCGGCCACAGGACCGGTTCTGATATCGCTCACCGCCGATCTTGGCCGTGGCTGGAAGAGAACGAGGTCGTGGGGTTTATTATCGCGACGCACGGCACGCCAACCCGCCAGGACCCTGCCGCCACTCTTGCCACGGCGTCGCTGGGACTCGTCGGGACGGAGCCCCTCGCCGTTGTGATGCATGGAGCGGCACACCCCCCCCCCCCCCCCTCGGCGCGTTGACACGTTTCCGAACCCACTCCCGAAACGGCTCCCAAACCAGTTCCAAAATCCACTCACAAAACCATTCCCAAAACTACTCCCGCTCCCAAACCCACTCCCGATTCCGCTCTCAAACCCACCCCCAATCCCACTCCCAAACCCACTCCCGATCCCAAACCCACTCCTGATCCTGCTCCCAAACCCAATCCCACTCCCGATCCCACTCCCGATCCCACTCCCGATCCCACTCCCGATCCCGCTCCCAATCCCGATCCTGCACCCGCTCCGCCGTGGCCTTGACGACGCACGAGAGGGGGAGGGGAGGGGGTTAAGAATACACCTCGACGGACGGGCCCCTATTTTTAAACGTCGCCATATAAAGCGTCCACGGATATCGCGTTACGTAAACACAGCGGGCGCCCTCCGGCGCTTTCACGTTGCCGGGCCCCACTCGCCGACGGCGGGATCCTCCCGGAACGTGCGCGCTCCGCGATCTCGAGGGACCTCGGAAGTTCGGCTCAGTTGAGCAGGGAAAAAATTGAGCCCGGGTTCGTAAAGCAACCTGCAGCGTCGACCCCTGGAAGCAGAGGTCGCAAACGGGTTTTGATTCCTTACCCGTACCCGGCCGCACCAGGGTCGCAAACGGGTACCCGTACCCGTACCCGGCCGGGTACCCAATTGCGACCTCTGGGATGAAGCCATGTTGCAGGCGCGGGTGGGTTGATTCTAGGAACTTGAATTGTGAGAAGAGACAAGACGTTGGGAAATGAGTGACAAACAGTTACTCACCAGTGACTCACGGTCTACCCGTACCCGTACCCGGCCACACCAGGGTCGCAAACGGGTACCCGTACCAGGCCGGGTACGGGTAGCTGGGTATCGGGTACCCGGTTGCGACCTCTGCCTGGAAGTGAATTGTGAAAGGTAGAGCTCCTGCATCACGTGCGTCATGCACCTGGCCATCACTCGTCCCCCATTCATTCCATTCCGCTCGTCATCATTGAGTGTCATTGATTTCGCTTTCACCGAAATCACGCCCCCCACCCCCCCCATTGCTTCGTCTCACATATTTCATTCACCTCACCTCCACCATGCACATTTATACTTTGCACCCGTTGTTAATTCTTCGTTAATCGCCTTGGTTAAGACGCGACATGAATTCCGCTTGAGGCAAGATAAGATGTACGTTGGAGGTGCACCGACAATACAAATCGAACGTAAAAAAAATAACAAAGTAAAGATCCCCCGTATAGCCTTAACAGACTGTTGGGGCAAGTGTTGTGAGCGAGCACCTATGAAGGCCGGCACAGCACAGGAGTGGATTGTGGCCAACACCACGTCCGGCCGCCTCTGTCTCCCCAGTGCCGATGTTTACACACCGGACCAGGTACTCATTTGAGGCTGAGTGGACCTAGGAGAGGCCCAGCACCGGTTCAGATAATCCTCACCCGTGTTGGCCGTGAGCGGGAATTGAATTCGGGCCGCCGGGTTTGTAGCGCTGCACGCTAACCGCTACGCCACCGCTCGCCTTACACACACAACGCACTCCCACGCACGCTCACACACACTCACACTCGCCGTTCCCCAGGCCCCAGGTTATAAATCGGAAGGAAACCGTGGTGGCCGCGAGCGGGAATCGAACAAAGGGCCGCCGGGTTCGTAGTGCAGTGCGATAACCGCTACAACCGCACAATCTAACGCGAGCCGGCGCTCATCAAGATTCGGCTTTGCAGGCCAATATGAATCCACAACCCCGGCGGCGGGGGGGGGAGTCACGGGTGACCACGGGATTAAGTCGCTCAGCTGTACGTGGCAACTCGCACAGCGTGCGCCTTTCTTGACTCAGGAACTCGCCATCTGACCGCCACGTCGAATCGCGAGAAAGGAGTGGACGCGAGGTGAAGGTGCAGCCCTGCAAGTGCTCGCTCAGGCCGCTGCTGGCAGAAGGGTCTCCTCTCGAGGGAAGTCTAGAGCGAGTATCTCTCCTTTCTAGAGAGAGTAGAACCCCATAGAGAATAACCCCCTAGAGTGTACACTCTCTACTCTCTAGAGTGAATACTCTCCACTCTCTAGAGTGTCTACTCTCTTCCCCACTGGGGAGACGTCTTGCAAGATTGCGGTAGGCGGCGGCAGCGGCGGAGAAGGGGGGGGGTGATGTAAGGAACCTTGTGCCGTCATTTCGACTGCCGTGCCAAAGCGGCGACCTCCGGAGCGCAGCGAGCGAACCGCCGGGGCCACTCGCTGCAGCGTGCCGTGGCCATTGTCATCAGCGCCTCCACAGTGGCGTGCCATCGTCTGGCGAAAGCTGCGACGGTGGGCGGCCACAGCAGCGG